TAAAGTCTAAAAGAGACGAAAAGGAGTTGGCTGTTCTTTTTTTCAATAAGAACATTTTGTTGTAAGAATATTTTCCTTAGCCCAAATTAGCATCCAAATTAAAATCATATTTAACACACATTACCAACCAAACTAGCTAGCTAGTGCTATGTTTAGCTGGTTACCTTACTAGGGTCTACACTATCGTCCAATTATTGTCACATTTGGACCCAAAAAAAGTAAATGGTCACTGCCAAAATGCCAAACTTGTGCCACAAACCAATGGGTGAATTCACTGTCACAACGTCCACTTTTTTCATTCAGTATAATGTATAGATACATCAATTTAACTATGGAACAGAGCCGGACTAGCTGTTGCCAGATACTTTCAGAATTTATACTAAGGTAAGCTAAGCTAATAAAGGTCCATCTTCTCTTATCTTATCTAACTTGTGGCTTTTAGCTTCACATCAATTATACAGACATGATAGTTGTGTTAACGAACTCCCCCTAACTATCAAAAAGGAAGAAAATTAGCACATAAGTTATGTGGAATAAATAATAATAATGTAATAATGCATAACTGTGATTGTAATGATTGTTTTGTTCTTTCGCACAAAGCTAAAAAAAAGAGTCACAAGCATAATGGTACATTTTTTGTTCATTGTTTTTTATTGGTCCAAAGGGTTTCCCAGACCCCAGTGCTTAATTTACAGCTTTTTCACTGGATTTGACGTCCTTGCTCTCTGACACAACTTTGCCGTCCACCAAAGTCTGAGTGACCGTCACCACTTTGGTCTGGACCATCTTCGAGTCAACTGCATCCTCATGCCTGGAAAAGGGAAGAAAATAGTTCAATCAATCCAGGGTTGTTATTTGGTATAACTATCAAACATGTCCTTGCTTCTATAATTTAACATTGCATTGTTTATTTTTGTAATTTCTAGAGATGCGCTATATCTACTTATTGATTTTTTCAATCTAAATTATTTTATTTCTTCCTTTTTTTGTCTGTTTGCATCTTGCTCTGTGAAGCACTTGGAGCTGCGTAGTTGTATGAAGGGTGCTATATAAATAAAGATGAGTATATATTGAAATTAGATCCTTTTGGTCACCATGTTGGTATCAAATATGTCATTTCTCTTGAAGTGATCTGGTTTTACATGCTGTCATGGAGCAGTAAAATAAGGGATGGGAGTATTGTATGCTATCTATGGACAGCTTTTACTTTCCATATCAATGTCGCTTCATGTTTGCATGAAGCTAATTTGAATCAAATTTGCAAAACTATCCATGACATGAACAAAGCTCTAATATTGTTCATGTTTGCTTGTTCAAACCATTGCTGAAAGCAATTTTTTTTCAGTTTAACCCAAACGTTCTGCCTCCTCTTCTCATACTCACTGGTAGTCTGCCTCGCCATCCAGCAGCCTTCTGTACTCGGCGATCTCGGCCTCCAGTTTCACCTTGATGTTGAGCAGGTGCTCGTACTCTCTAGTGCTATGCTGGATGTCGGTGCGGATCAGAGTGAGCTCCTCATGCAGCCTCACAATGATCACGTTGTACTTCTCCATTTCCATGTTGTAACGAATTTCGATGTCCCGCAGCGTGGCCTCCAGGGAAGCTTTCTGTGAACAAAAAGGTTGATCATGCCTTTGATTGATGCAGTAGACAATGAATTACTTAGCTTCATGCTAAGAGTTGGATAAAGAGATTGTCTCTATGATAATGATGCACTAATGATGTAAACAAGCACATAGTTCTCACCAGACTAAGTTGAGACTGCAGTTCAATGTCCAGTCCCTGACACCTTCTCCGAGTTTCAGAAATCACAACTGTGGCTTCCTTCAGAGCTGATGAGCTCTCAGTTACTTGAACCTGCACGTCTGTGATCTGGAAACACAACAAAAATGCATGTAATATACACCACAAGCACCGCTAGCCAACTCAAAAAATATTTGACAAATATCGTGATTGAATAATAACCTGAGATTCATGCCAGGTTTTGAGCTCCTCCTGGTTCTTCAGTGCTATCTTCTCATAGCTGGCCCTCATTTCCGCCATGATCTTAGCCAGGTCCTGTCCTTTAGGAGCGTCAACATCAACACGGACGCCAACCTGGGTGATCTGGGCTCGCAACTCGGCAACATCCTGTTGAGGGGGAAAAAGTCAGGGAGTGATTTCCTGAACAAGGTCCGTGGGGTCCTGTGCTAGGAGGTTGATGGGAAAAACGGATTGTCATAATGGCGAGGTACTGAATTATAGATTCTTATTCTTTGTAAGGCCATATATGTTTTGATCAGTGTCCTCACCAACTCATGGTTCTTGCTCAGGTTGATCAGCTCCTCCTTCAGAGACTCGATGTCGCTCTCCAAGTGGAGACGCATTACGTTGGTGTCATCCAGAAGCTTCCTCAGTCTGGCCACATCGGCGTCCACCGCCTGACGCATGGACATTTCATACTCCATCCTAACCAGACATACTTTATATCAGATATGTTGACCCTTGATAGAGAGCCTGTTTCATTTACTTAACAAAGCCAAACACTCACTTGACTCTGAAGTCGTCTGAAGCCAGTCTGGCGTTGTCAAGAGAGATATTAAGATGTGCGTTTCCCTTGATCATGTCAAATATCTGCAATACAGGAAGTTGTTCAGTGTGGGAAATACAAACATACTGCATATACTAATTGAAACGTTGTGTTTTCCTTTTTTTCCACAGTCAGTTTAAGTGATTCTCACTTTGATATACTATGCAGATCAAATAACTGCCTTGATAACACACTGTAAGTCATAAAATAACAAAGCAGGTTATCTCTCATAGCTCCACAGGGAGGTGGAGATAAGACTGAGACTGTGAGTCAGTTTGAGAAATCAATAAACACTTTGAAGAGCCGGTGGTATAATAATAAAAGGCTTTACTTTTGACTTTTGCCCCAACATTATGTGAAGTTGTGGAGGGTATTGGAAGAGAATAGTATTGGACAGAGGATTGAGATCTTAGTCAAAAGAAATTCTGCAAGAATTATTTAAAAAACGTAAATTTTATTGGACAGTTTGGAACATTAGAGCCTATAAAAAGAAAATGTGTGCACAAGCTTGGAAACCCCATATCCACTTACTTGGAGATGTGTTTTAAACCATAACACTAAGGAAGACACAGCTTTATCACTAGCTTGATATTAAGAAAACTTTGTACTGTCACATTTAGTTTTCCATTTGGTAGACTAAATAGGACACATCAAGTATAACTAAGACCGACTGATTGACTCACCTTGGCCCTCAGCTCAGCGATGATGGCGTTGTACTTGGTGAAGTCCTTCCCCGCCATAGGGCCTTTCTTCTCGATGGTCTCCCTGATCTTGATCTCCAGGGTGCTGTTGGCCTTCTCCAGATTCCTCACCGTCTCCAGGTAGGAAGCCAAGCGGTCGTTCAGGTGCTGCATGGTTGCCTTCTCATTCGTGATAGCCAGGGATCCGGAACTCGACCCAGAAGACGTGGATTGGTAGTCATACCCACCCCCGAAGCTGCTGCCAACCCGTGTGCCGTAGGCCGTGGAGATCCTGATCCCATGGCCGCCTGCTCCTCCGCTGACACTGTGGGCATAGGACCTGTCCATCTGAACAGGTCTTTGCAAGGGTGTCAAATGACCTCCAAGAACTTGAGAACTCTGGCGTCTATAACGGGGCTCCATTGCTAGAAGAAGTGAGTTGATGAGTTAGAAGAAGAAGCTCTGGTGCGTCCTGACACAGAGGGGTTCGGCAGCTGAGAGTGAAAGACGGAGACCAGCCACCAAGTCTTATATATCGGTCTGCAAGGCAATATGTCTTCCTGCCACTCCTCTACTATCTATATTACATTTTACCTTTAGACCTTTTCCTAGACTTTGACCAAAAACACCCAATATGAACATCCGGCTGACATGATAGTGTCTAGTAAACGTATCTATGGTAACTGTGATATCAATTGCAGCTTAAAGCATAATGCCGGCCATGTTCAATATCTCTCTGAAGTTTATCCAGCAGGGAAATTGTCTTAATCAGTTATAAAGTATATCACTTTATCTTATTCCTCCCATATATTTTTTTGCATTTTTGCGCTTACTTGTCAGAGGACAGTGTCCCAGGTCTGAATTAAACCTGGGTAGTAATTTCTTGTCTACAAAGGCACTTTGGAGTCTCACTCGTTGTCCAGATACTATTTAAAACACATTAGTGGCCATTGTCCGTGTTTTCAGTATCCAACATATGAGTGCATTCTGGGGACTACCTTTGATTGCAGATGAATTCCAATTTCGTAAATTGTGTACACATTTACTCAAAATGTCAATATTTATCATGATTCAGTAAAGTTTTCGCAAAACTACAGTTTCAAACATGTGTTTTTACTTAAGATGTATGTCTTGGAGTCAACAAGCTTGGATACTGGTAGATATGTAAGGAACCATTCTGTTTATGGAATTTGTTGACACTGAGACGCATGTAGTATGTCACCAGCCTTGTTTTCAAGACAAAGAGGACACAGTGAAACGGGATTCAGTTGGAGTATCAGAAGTAATAAATAAGGCCTATCTTGCGCTTAACCATTGAGCGGCACTTTATAATAGTACAAGGAAGATTTTTACAACTATCACAACCACATTTATTTTATCCTTTATCTCAATGATCCCAGTAGAATTACCTTGTTCAGGCTATAACATAATCTAAAATGAATAAGGGATCAATGTTTCAAAACGGTAAGGCACCATATCAAGTTTTTGGCACTTTTCAGTGATTTTAAAGCTACACCTAAAAAGTGGTGAGGATTGAGACTGCAAGCTAAAGTTACAAATGTAATAAAGGATTAAAGATTTAATGGTCACCATACGTTAACCATTTAGTCATAGGGTTATTTGTTCCTATGTATTTATAGTGTCATACATGTTATAATTCTCAAAGGGTCATTTTGCTTTTGGGAGTAAATGAGGTAATATATCTGACATATTCTTTTTTGTTTCATACAAAACACCATGATCACACCAAGAACATTTCACCAATGGACTTTATTGAAATGTCTGAACATCACAGCGCAACAGACAGACAAAACTGGACAGAAAGAAAACCAAAGATGATGACATAAAAAATGTTTTACATTTATTTGGACTCTTTTATTAATTAAAAATATTGAATGTCTTCAATTGGTTTGTCTTTGAAAAAAAAGCTCTAATTTTTCCAATTGTTTTAAACTTTGCAGGTCAACACACAACACATAAATAAATCATGATGAAATAAATAATAGATGATGTGGTTTCCCTCCAATCCAGTTTTGATTTCATCGGCCTGTGGAACAGCTGCGTACCCAGAAAGTCAAATAGAATGGCAGCGTCTAATGCAACATTTACGGTTAGTGCTGTAAGATGAAAGCAGATCACATTTAGCCAATCATAGGTTAGTGTTTTGATGCAGGGTTAGTGATTGTTGGGAGTGTCATGTGGTTGCTTCTGGTATTCAAAGGTTCTTGGTTTCTGTGCTGGAGGAAACCACCTTCCCGTCCACCAGGGTCTGTGTGACGGTCATGACTTTGGTATTCACGGTTTTCTGGTCTTCCAAAGCATCCTGGAGCCTAAACGGACATATCAAGAAACTAATTAATCGTCAGTAGAAGTTTAAATTGACACATCTTTAAGTATGAACCTTGCCTCTCAAGGTTGCTTACGTATGTACATATAAAATAGTTTTTTCTTGGTTTTGTCAACATAGAATCAGTTAGCTACGCACGTGAAGTCTTCCCCATCCAGCAGGCGTCTGTATGTAGCGATCTCGGCCTCCAGCTTCATCTTCATGTTGAGCAGGGCCTGGTATTCCTGCGACTGCTGCTGGATGCTGTTACGCAGCTGTGTGAGCTCGGCTTCCAGACCCAGGAGGATGGTGTTGAGAGCCTCAATCTCCATGTTGTAACGCATCTCTGTGTCCCTCAGCGTGCCCTCCAGAGACCCTTTCTGTGAAGGGAAAGCAAAGAATGGGTTAATATCTTACAGTGAAGCCAACTCACTAGCGACAGCTCCATAGTGAGAGGTCACCGGAGTGTGAAGATTGTGTCAACAAGAGAGACTTGAAGTGAGAGTGCTGAGTAAGCCATGGCAGTGTGTGTTGGGGTCAATGAAGTGTGTGCTGACTGTGTGCTTCTCACCATGCTCCTCTGGGACTCCAGCTCGATCTCCAGGGTTTGCATCTGTCGACGCAGGTCGTTCACCTCTGTGTGGGCTCCCTTCAGGGCCTCTGTGTTCTGGACTACCTGGCTCTGCACTTCTGTTATCTGAAAAAAGGATCAAGAATGAAAGATAAGCAGGAGTCAATTCAGGGTGTAGTATGGGCCATTAAACTTTAGAGCTGATCCAAATCAAAGGGCGGATACTCGCATTGTGTTTCACTTTTGTGACATTGTAATTAGAAACACTCCCAACTCGGTATATGGGACCATCCAAAGAGCCTTTGAATACACCTTTGGCTGTGGAAGTGGTTTGAACTCTTTCTAGTTCCTTGTTAATGGTTTACCTGAGATTCGTGCCATGTTTTGAGTTCTTCCTGGTTTTTCTTTGCCATGTTCTCGTACTTTGCTCTTATTTCTGCCATGAGCTGAGCCAGGTCCTGTCCTTTGGGAGCGTCGACGTCCACACGGACTCCTGATTGAGCAATCTGGTTACGGAGCTCCATAACTTCCTAAAAAGATGCAAATTGATAGAAGAGTTAATAGACACAATCAAAAATATTGTGCGCTTCAAACAGTTCAAGTGTGTAGACTACAGCTTAAATCATGTGGATTCTACTACTACAGACTTTTTTCATTTAGCTGTGACCTAGCTTTGACTCTTTTTGAGCCTCTTCCAACCGTAATTACATTATGGTCAGGTAAATATACAGGGGGTGCATCTAAACGTCTCTTTGAGACTTAATTTCTTCAGTAAACAAATGGTTGCCTTGTGGCTTATCCACTTAAATTATAGTCATTTGAATTCCTTGGTGTTTTTTTTACTTTGGGGAACCATTTTTAACGATGAGGCTTCCCACAGAATTCACACCCAGATATTTAAGATTTCTTATCAAACCTCCCTCCACCCACTGATTTGTTTTCTTCTGACACTTTTATTGAAGAAAACCCTGCAGCCTGCCTGGATGTCCTGGTTAAAGTCGTGGCCTAGTCTGTAACATGCATACGTTCCCAACAGGTGGTGATGATGTTGAAGGGGATTATGGAGATATAAGTAAATATTGATTCAGTTCTTTAAAAGGTTGTGGCTGTTTGCTGTGATGGTCCAGAGGTCTTTTCTTTGTTGGGGACTCATTACACTTTGTTGAAAGCAGCACTAAAATGTCAACACTAAGCAGTTAATGGCAAAGCCCTGAAAAACAATGTTTCTAAATCAGGTTGTTAGAACACATTTCTTATGTTATTGTCCTTGCTTTTTTCGCTGGTTTAAAGGGTCTAACTGGAAACATTTGATGTTAGCTTCACGAAACAGATTTTTAGCAACTTTTGTTGTACATCTTTTAAGTCAAACTAAGATATTTTCCTCATCCTAACCAAGATTTGTTGACTAAACATAACCACATATTTTTTTTTGTTTCAGATTAGATTTAAAGCTGTGACCATTATCAGCAAAAAATATGTTTCCCACGAGTCATAATTTAAATATATTTGCAGGGTTAGGGTTGGATTTCTTTATATTATGAAAAAACACTTTTGAGTTGAGGTTTGGATCTGGTTAGGGTTAGGATTGGGATTACCATACTCACATTTGCATGGTTCTTCTTGAGGTGGATGAGCTCCTCCTTCAGGGTTTCAATCTCGCTCTCCAGGTTCATGCGGCTCATGTTGGTGTCGTCGATGAGCTTCCTCAGACCAATGATGTCCGCCTCCACAGACTGGCGGATAGCCAACTCAGACTCGTATCTACACAGGGCAGGGTAAACTGAATTACTCAATGAACTAAGTTGCTGAGTGGGCCTATCACTTTGTCACCAACTATTTATATTCAAGGTATCTTTCCTTTCCATTTACATGGTCAATATTTGTTCAGCATACAATATTCTATACCATATTTTCCAGCTGTGTTTGCTATGACATTAGCTTTATTACACAATGGAAACATCTCCCCCGGCTATGATGCAAAGGTGATGATTTATGAATACAAGACAGATCATGTATACATCCAAGAACCTATTCAGCGGTAAAGCAGGGTGTGCCCGCAGCAGTCTGGGTTAGGGTTTCCTGTCTCAGAGGGACTTACTTCACTCTGAAGTCATCGGCCGCCAGGCGAGCGTTGTCGATGTTGAGAACCAGACGAGCGTTATCAGAGGTGGAATCAAACACCTGAGACAAAAGAAAGAGGGGATTTAGATTGCAAGCTAAGGTACGGTGGCCCTGAAGTGCAAGTCAAAACAACATTTCACAAAACAATACAGCATTTCAGAAAACGCCACAGCATTTCAGGAAACACCACAGCATTTCAGGAAACACCACAGCATTTCAACTTTTACGGAAAGGGTATTCCTTTAGGGAGAACACTTCTTGTTTGTGATTGGACAGAGCCAGCCAGAGAAGCACTGCTGTGAATGGTTGTTTTTGCTGCCAGTCAAGAAATGACGCTTCGTGATTGGTCAGCACCCGACAGCGCAACATGTCCCAAAACATCAGCCTAGCTGTTAGCACACAGAGCTCACAGCTCCTCATATCTGTTCAGAAACTGGACAAAAGTTAATCATTAACAAACCACAGACTGTCTATGTCATGGCGAATACAGTCGCTGCTTTATTTCTGTCTGTATGATGTTGTTGTGAGTTTGGATGGAACAGCTACAGGTTAGTTTATCCTGATCGATCCGATCTCCATTCAGAAAACATTTTCATGGATATAAGCCCCGCCCCCTCTCCAGCGCGTCTTGTTTGAATGACAGGAGTAAACACAGCTGACAGCCGCGGTGAAACCTGAAACTCGAGCGATTAGAGCGATGCGAATATTCGGGGCTTATCTCCATGTAAATACTATGGTAGACTACAACAAAATGAACGTATTTTACCGTGATTTTATTGTAAAACACGGGGACAGTGCCAGCGGGCCGGTTCAGATAAACCAGATGGTTGCAGTATTTGCTTTATGTGTCACGGTCTGGTAGATAAGGGCAGGGAAGGGTGGCAGGGGAGGCATCCAGGTGACAAAGTCTACTAGCCAATCGGTGGCTGCCAGGCAGCAACCGTCCTCTCGGAGCAGGAACAGGATCCATGCAGTCAGCAGGGACGAGACAGGTGATTTGCATGAGGTAGATGGGGGTGGTGGTGGTTGTGTGTGTGCGTGCATGTGTGTGTTTGCATGGATAGTTGACTGTGCGTGCTTTACCAGACTGGGCTGTTTTCACATTGACGTGAGAGTCTGTGTTTTCTCAGATGGGGGCTGAGGGCTTAGTTATTTGAGTGATTTTTGCATCACATCAAAAGACAAATTTGCCTTTTTTGACCCCGGGCTGTGTGGATAAACTCAGGCCCTCAGCTGTTAGTAGAGTAAACAGTTGAGAATGAAAAAACCTTGGGAAATAGTTGCCAAACTCCTTCTTCATGTTTGTGTAACCATTTGACGTCTATAGTGTTATCTGTTCAGTCCCACAAGGAAAACATGTAAAAAAAACCTGCTCTATGTGGGCATGTACACTTTTCCACACAGAGGACATATACAAATAATATGTTCTAATGTTGAACTGGTACAGTTAGAAACGGGGTTATCCAGTTGCTCCATTGGGCCCGAATGGAATATTCCATTTGAAAACTGCACTTTTTTTTGTCTGAATATGGAAACTGTAGGCTTGAATGACATTTGCAAATCAGTGGGGGAAAAACCTTGAATGAATAATGCAATCTTAACTTTGAGTTCTTTAGCCGGATGTGTTTTGATCGGGTGTTTCAGGAAAGTGTGAAATGATTTGCCTTATCAGATTAATTACATATAAAACACAGAACATAAAGAACCCCAACTTGAAAGATCCTATTCCCAAGTGAGTGTCCTTATCCTTATCAGCTTCTATTCTGTGTATACACAGTAGTAATGACTGTACTACTTGTTCAGTCCCATTGTGCTATTACTGAGACACTGTTTGTGTTACACCGAAAGGAAAAGGTAGTTAAAGTCATGACGTATGGGCCTGTATGTTGGCCCTTTATGGTCTGTAAAGTCCCTGGACTCTGTTGTTTTTCTCTGCTTTCCTGTCTCTCTGACCCCTGATGCTCCAACATTCCTCCACCATACTGTTTCCGGTTCAGCCCTGGGACCCCCAGAGCGGCAGTGGGCACTAATCCAAGCAGTAACCATAATGGGTTTGGTTTTTAGGTCAGAGGGTGCCAATTTGATTGCTTAAAACCCATTTGAAATGCAAATACCTTCAATATGTATTGTGCCCTACACATTTTCTTCTACCAATCATACATCATATCATGTCATCAACTTAAATGAATTACCTCTTTCCATTCAAACCCCTCTCTTTTACTTTAATTCACCACTTAATAAATGAACACATGTCCTCCTCACCTTCTTCCTGAGGTCATCCAGGACGGCCTGGTACTTGCTGTAGTCTCTGCAGTCGGGTCCGCTCTTCGCCATGGCCTCCTTGATCTTAATCTCCAGCTGGTGGTTGGCCTGCTCCAGGTTCCTCACCGTCTCCAGGTAGTTGGCCAGACGGTCGTTCAGGTTCTGCATGGCAAACTTCTCATTGCCCATGACGTGGCCACTGTTCCCGCTCACCTGGATGTTGCTGGAGAAGCCCCCAGCTCCTGAACCCACTCCCATCCCGGATCCCATCCCTGATCCCAATCGAGTGCTGCTGCTGGAGGAGATGCTGATGCGGCCCCCTCCAGCCCCACCATGGATAGATGAGGCCCTGTAGACAGGACCAGAGGTACGGCTCATTGACATGGCAGGAGGTCGGCTGCTGTTGGAGCTGCGCACAGAGTATGTAGACTGCCTGGAGGTTTGCATGGTGCTGGAGGAGTGTGAGATTCAGTGAGAGAGACTGTGAGTACGAGAGAGCGGCACAGGCTGAGGAGGCAGAAATGTGAGCTCACAGACACAAGGCAGTAGCAGAGGAAACTCTGTTTAACTATATAGACCTTGTGGGCCCTCAGGTCCGCCCCTCAAACCACTCCCCCTCACCCTGAGTCACCTCCCTCTTTTCCACTGTCCCAAACCGCAGACTCACAGCATGTCTTTGTCCTCCACAACCTTCCTTAGCTGGAAAGAAGGAAAAAATACTTTTTTTGTTAGACATGAATAATATTAATTATTGCTCTCTTTTTAAGTCTAGTATATAATTTTCTCTTTTATTATTTCACAGAGGATTTAGAAAATAATACATTTATTTTTATATGTGTATTAATAGTTTTTTGTACAACAATTGAGATCTGAGGCACTTAAGCCTATATTATATAAACCACAGACATTTACTGGTGGTAAATAAGTAAAATAATGGTAAATTCTAGTCACAAAAAGATTAAATTACAGCATCTGGATTTCCTAGGTATAAAGTTTGTAGGGCTGATACAATATCAGATTTTCACTACACAATTAGCCTAGTTAGAAAAATCACAACTTTATCATATTTTAATATCTATAGAGAATAAAACAAATATATGGTATTAGGTTATGAGTGATTACACTTTTAATATGTTGTTAAATATTGGGTTCTGATCGGGAAAAAATATATATAATTGGCTGTATTTTGGTTCTAAAACTATACAGTTACTGTAGTGTTGTGCGGGGAATCCAATAACTCATCAACGTTTAAGAAAATTAAGTTGCACAAATAAATATTTCGAATTTTGCCACCAACGTTAGACTCATTAAAACACGTTATTGGCTTTGCGTCACATTCCCCACCCTGAAAACAGCCACATTTCACCGAGGCATCATCACCTTTAGGGGAATGTCTCGGGATCAGTTACAGCCAGTTAACACTAATGATTTCATCAGTTGAGTCAGTGTGGGTGGGTAAGTCACAGAAGCAACAGGTCTCATTCAACTGAAGTCATTTGATGCATATCCATCAGGATACTGTAGTCTGGAATATCTTCCACTTAAATGTCTATTTAGACTTTTGGACGAAACACATATTGTTTATTAGAAACCCATCTGCAATCACAAATAATGTGTTTGAAGGGGCCATACTGAGCATTTACATCTTTTAGCACAGGCTTCTATTGGTTTCCCTTTGTTCTTGTGAAAATATGTACTGAGATGAATGGATACTAATGGCTTCCTCAAACTGTAAAACAAAAATTACATCCAACATTTAAAACAGTGTGCACAGGAAAAATAAGATCAGTAAAGCCACAATTGTGAGGTCTTTTAAAGTCTTGATACACTTTGAAACCCTACGTTAAATCAGATAAAGGTTTTCTAAGGTGTTAGGTAGCCTCAGATGTACGGTACATATGTTATCTGTTCTACATAGCCGGATGTGTGTCTGATCGCCCCCTCCCATAAAGGATATGGACAAACAAATAAACATTTCCACCATCTCCTTTGTAGAAACATAGGAACAATGCATTTTCTAAACCAGAACATATTCCAGAAGCCTCCCTGCAGGTTTTTAACACAAGCACATTCCACACATGGTACCTTTAAAGGACTTTTCCTGGCATATAACAAGGACAGACATCCATTTTTTCGTTCTTTGAGGTTCCATGCTTTCTTTAGTTTGTCATGTAGCTTGTCTGTCATCAAAGCTTAAATATCTTTTTTTCTAGCATACAAACCATTAAGCAAGAACAGTTAAGTCTTATTTACAGATCTTATTATGTCTTCACGCCCACGGTTGTCTGTATCAGCATCGACTTCTTCTCAAATAACATTCCTGCCAGATGGTTTTCTGTTTGTTTGTACTCATGTTCGGTCTCAGCCTTGCCCCATCCTCTTTGTTTGTTTTTCAGGAAGGAACATGCAGCAGGATATTAAAGCAAAGAGCTCCTGATGAAAAACAACTCATGTACTGTCATTGACTGGGCCAACAAAAGTGATCCCTACCTAATCATAGCAATAAACTGTCTTCATAAGAGGTTGCCTCAAAACATGTATTATAACAATAATGGTATTAATGTTTTATTTGTAGTTGTAGAGGGCCTGAACAGACAGTGTTTTTTTAGCTGCTTTTTCTTTTGAATTTGTTGCTAGTCAAGCACCAAATTAGTGCTAACGTTAGTTAAACAAAAGCCATGAATAGTATACTACCTAATTGTTGACCTAGTTTAGGTTCATATAATCATAGACAAGGTGCACAAAGCGGCTTAAAATGTACTCTTTCTGATCGAAACCTAAGGCAGTCCATATCGGCTCGTGAAGACCATGTGTTCTGTCGTGAGTGCGAATCTGTCCTTATGTAAACAGCTAATCTAGCATACTACTGCTTCAGTAGCGAAATACATTTCCAACAATCGGCTAGGCTAACAGAAAGCCTTGCTTATCAGTTGCACGTAACATTTTGCCTCAAAATTGACATTCCTAGAGGGGTTTGGTCTCATTTTAAACCCATCATCTGCAGATTTATTCCATACCAAATATGTTGTGATCCACTAAAACTAGGAAAGAAGCTGGAAGAATAAATCCCCATTTTTGTAATCTTCAACATCTTGACTCTACGGAAGATTCAACTCTTCTTTGTTTCGGAAGGTAGAGAGAAATAATCCCGGTGGAAATCTGCACTCTGCATGCACGGATATGTGTTTATCAAGGCAAAGAGAAAGCAACAGGGAAAGGGGAATATGAGACAGAAAGCAGAGATACAAATCAAGGTGGAGCGACCAAGTTAAGACACGATGTATGCTTGATAAAGAGATAACACATCAGACCTCCTTAGTCTTTCACCAATGGAGAGTAATCCCAAAACCAGACACCACCATCACCAGAAACACAGGGGTATTTTGATGTTTGCCATGTATTAGGATCTTCGTTTGTCTAGCAGTGGCAGTGATGACTGCAGTGTTTTGACTGATCGCGATGGTCGCCACGCCTAGCATTGAAAACAGAGACAAAAGCTCAAGTGTTAGATGAATGATGAAGATGATTACAGGCTTCTGTGTCAGTGCTTTCCCATTACTTTTCAATAAAAAAAGAAGCTGACACAAGTACAAAGCTGTCCCCAAGACAAGCCTTAGCTTAGCATTAAGACTAAAGGAAGGTAGAAAAAGCTATCTTGGCATCCTCCAATGTGTAACAATAAACTCACCAACATCTTTTAAGGTCACTAATTGGTTTGTCTAACCTGAACACAAACAGAATTGTAAAGACAAAGTCATAAAAAAGTGAAGTTTTCCGGTATGTTGTCATTGTGTCTGCAGAGTGAGTCCTATAATTTCAGTACATCTGTGCACATAAAATACCTTTGTAAAACAGCTGTTTAAATTTGTATGCTATTTTACAGCTTTTGGAAGAGTCAGCCTCGCTTCCAGTTATTTACTCTTATGTTCATTTTACTACATTAAAACATGCTGCAAGAAGCTCAAAACACAGCAGAAACCAGTTATTATCTAACACAACTAACCTAGTAATTTACATGTACTCTTAGTTTTGGGTTGTTTGCATGGTTCGGCCACCATATGAAAGAGACAAAGACCATTTCCTAAAATGCCAATTATACCTTTGTTCCATTGTTTGACAGGGTCTAAAAACATAAAGAACACATAGGTCTGTGAGATACAGTAATGATTTACCTCTTTGCTAATATTTTTCTTGGCTACTTAAACGTGTTTGCATGTCAGATTACAGTTGAACTTCCATTACATAAACAAGGTCACAGTGTTGGGAAAATCACCATCTAATGACAAGTACAATGTATTTTGTAACCTTTTCACTTTAGTAAGTTGCAATCATTGTGCAATCCACCCTTAACTGACTGACTGAAGTGGGGGGGGGGGATTACATGTTAGTTTCTTCAGACATCCTACAAGAATGTTTGATGGGAAACTGTCCTTTATCACACGTTTTGGCAGGCAGCAACCCCACCTAGACCTTACCTCAAAGGTTTTGGCCCAATATCAAGAATTTGTGTCCGTGATAGTCATCGCCATGATGCCCCCCTCCGAAGTTACTCTCTAATCTCTGTTCCTTCAAGGGGCAGTTTGTTCCAGTACATTTTGACAAGCTCTGGATGGCTTTTCAAATGTAATTAAAGTGCAAGTTATAAATATAAACAGGAGATGCTAATTTAAACTAACAGTCCATTTCATATTCTCTCTTTGTTTGAACATTGTATTCGTCTTCTTCATTGCGTTCACTTATTATCTGTAAACAATCATGAACAGCAAAAAACAAACAATGTTCACCACTTTTGGGGAATAAATCAGTAAAATCAGCAGAAGGTTTACACGTATAATGAATCTTTTGTGTGTATATGGTGAATACATAAACGCAAGAGGAATTAAGTTGTACAAAATCAAAACAAGAACAAATATATAACAATGTTCAAATCTAAAGAGATATTTAAAATATGAAGATGAATGAATAAATACATGAAAAAAGTAATACAAAAATAACTATTTAGTCTGAGAATAAAATATTCAAATTCAAGATTCAAAGGCTACAGTGTATAAATGGTAATGGCAATCTTATGACCTGAGCTCCTCCAACAATCCAACATATATAACACAATACAATAATACAAAATACAAAATAAAAAGTAGTGCAAAAAATAATAATATGTGCAGTAGAAGGCAAAAAGAATCACACACAAAAACCCAAGTTATAATTGGATAACATAGATAAACAATTGTTTTATAGATACAGGGATTTCCTAGGAAAAGTGTGCCTGTAACACTGATCGCACCACAACGTGCGTGCCAGTCTGTGTGTGAATGCTGGGCATGGGAGGGGCATCGCTAAGCCTCTGTTGACTCTACGCCACCACCCTTATCACCCTTTGTGTAAAGATGCCATTGACTGTGATGGCCGCTGTGTCCTGCACGTCACGAGACCTGCAGCTTGATAAATCATCTGCCAGGCAATGCAGATGCTTGATATGTGGGCGGGGGAGGGGGTGAAATGTGAACGTCTATATATATGGTATTTATGCTTTCAGTATGTTTAGACAGTGCTCTGCTTGC